ATAATTAATAATAAATAGGTTTATTCCATGCTGAACAGGGAAGAAAGAAAACACGTTTCGGACGTGAATCCTTCTTCTGAAGATCTGTTTTCTTGGATTAAACCTATTACTTGTACAGTACCTTTGCAGCCAAAGCATGCTGACGCAGCTACCCACCTGAAATAATAATAATAATAATATTTAATAATGTTCATTAGCAAATTGTTATTTATCAAACGTTTTTCAAAAGATTGCTAAGTGTTTTTTGTTAATGAGAAATTGTGCTAATTTGATTTCCAAATGTGTGTTCCTTAACAAATGCATTAACATTCAGAGATATGTGCCTGAATGGGAATTTGAAAGGAAATTGGTGTTAATGATAATTCGGATAATTAACAATGATAATTGTTAATGAAAATTTTATGGAAATCTATTTCTGGCTGAAAAATAGTGTCTTTTAATAGTTAGCAGGCACATAACCAGTAGTGAAACAGCGCTGGGGGAACTGGTTTAAGGGAAAAACAAAAAAGTAGTGTTTCAGGGAAGTGCAGTTGCACCTGGGTGGGGCAGCTACAGTCAACCGTGCAGAAGCTCTGCAGGAAGATCTTTGCACTCCTGCAGATCAGGGGTTGTAGGATACTGCCAGACGTGAAGCTGTGCTCCTGCGTTGTTTCTAAAAGTCACAAGTGACCAGACAGGACCCTCTGTAGGCATCACCTTGCAGCTGATTAGCTTCATGAAAAGGCTTCACCTTCCTCAGATCAGGGTCCCACAAATCAGCAGTAGCATCAACATGGCAGAAGCCAGTTTTATGCTGTATCTGGCTATGGAGACATTGATTACACACACGTTGCACTCAAAAACCCCTCCTGATCATGCAGATACTTACTTAGTACAGGTATGCATAGGTAGGGGTTCGATTATCCAGACCTCCCAGATGATTTGTGAAAGTACAGCAGGTTATGTGCAAGTCTCACTTGCTTCTGCCATGACTCTAATACTCTGACATATTCTCAAAGACCAAATACAAATGGAGTATTAGTAGGTAGTAAGTGTTCAAAAAGTGCCTAAATAGTTCAATATGTAAGTCTGAGAAGAAGTGAAAATATTTAACTTATTCACTTAGAAAGACTGTCCATAGTTATAATTTTACAGGTATTGGACTAGATGGATATATTCTTACCGTAATATCCATCATGTACTGTACATTTTCCTATAACTTTTGGTAACATCGGAACCATTATGCAAATTCTTGCTATAGAGTGGTAAATTAGACCAACAAATATAAAACCAAGTACAGGTCTCTAAAATAGTTTACATAAAAAAATAAATGCATAATTATTCAACAACAAAACATAGACTGTAGTGCCTTGTCACCACTGAAATAAGCAATTGTGGTTTCTCTCTCTCAAGATCTATATTAATGAGATTGTTCTCAGGAAAATGTTGATTACTTGTTAAGAAATAAGGTCACAGTTAGGGTTACATTATCCTTATTCTTTATTGCTTCAGCAATAATAAGGAGACACTTACAGGGACTGCAAGACTTGTATTGTAGCTTAATTATATTCCCATGCGTGGAATGGTTTGAATATAGAGAAATTCACAATCGCATTGTAGTTCATACAGTAGAAGATTGCCTGAAGAAGGCTCCACAGCCAAAACATTGTGTTTCCTTTCTTTTCTTTTCAGCAGGGAATAAACCTGTTCCCTCTTATGGATCTTAATTATTATTCACTAAACAAACCTCATTGAAGACCAAACAAACCAGCTTTAGAAGTGGACATTTACTTATGGGGATGTTTTTAGAGGATCTCAAATAATTGTGTTATAAAACCAGGTGATTATTCTATTTTAAGAGATAATTAAAAAATATAAGCATACCACAAAAAGTGATCTACTGTATATGTTTATACAGTCTGTCATCAGCAACGAAGACAGCAACATGTACAGTATAGATCAATTTGTTTCATCTCATATTATGCATGCAATAAATGAATAATTACAGTATATACAATTTGATATGTGCATATATGTGGCATTAAATTGGGAATTAGATTAGGATTTATAAATCAATAAATCATTTTGAAAGAGGGACTTTAAAGTATCTTAGAGAAGTGTGACTAAAATGTGCATTTCTTTTCACCTATCAGATCAATTGTTAAATAGCCATTCTTAGAAATAACTTTCACACTTTGAAAATCTGTGACCTTTCAATTACACTTGCCACCAACCTAAAATCCACATTAAATTGCAATGGCATTTAAAAGCAGTAACGAGTTTTCTGCTGAAGTTGGTGCATTGTCAGGTGGCCATTTTGCAGTGATTACTAATTTCGTGATGGAGCACTTGTGCATGCCTTCTGCTCGGATGGGTAATTAATGAAGTGAGCTCAGCTCTGAAGCATGGG